TGATGCTGCGGCAGCTGGTGCTTGTTCTTCAGTAAATTCACTCACTTCTTGGATGTTCACAATAGCTGGCCTGTGGCTTTCACACCCAAAGGTCAATTTGGTTGGATACAAAATCCTTCAGTATCTTAAATACGTTACTCCCTCATCTTCGGTCATAAAACGCTGCTGTCAAAAGTATCTGATGCTGATCTAATTAACCTTCCCTCAAACAGAACTTGTACCTTTTTCCTGTGTGCCCAAGAGTCGTTCGTTTTCATTTTCTTTGAAGTCTCATACATTTACTAAAAGATTTACTTAGCGTCTATCATCTTCGGTATATGGTATGCCTTTTCTTTCTTTTTTTAAGATTTATTTCTTATTTGAGGGAGAGAGTGAGAGAGCGCATGAATGGGGGGAGGAGCAGAGGGAGAGGGTCTCAAGCAACCCCCCCGCCCAGAGCTTGGAGACTGACTCCAGGCTCGATCCCACAACCCATGAGATCATGATCTGAGCTGAAACCAAGAGTCAGATGCTCAACTGACCGAGCCACCCAGGCGCCCCAGGTATGCCCTCTCAACATGTCTTAAGTTTCAGGACAGTGTTTCTGTAGTTTCTGAGCATTTGTCCTACAGCACTGCTTTGGTTCTCTTCTTGGGGGACTGTTGCAAACTGAAAACAAGGCTATGATACAGTGCCTTCCTCATCGAGAGGCAGTGTCTATTCCGTCTTGAATCTGGGCTGACTTTAGACTTGCTTTCCAAGAGGAACACTAGGCCCAGGAAGGCTTGTGGCTTTGGCTCCCATGCTCCCAAAGCACTGTCCTGTGATGGCCATGCTAAGAGAGGCTGGCCTAGCCTCTGAGAGGACAGGTGCCCACAAGGAGGACTAGAACCCGGGTGCCCAGTGGACAGCCAGCACTGACTGCTGGACATGTGAGAGCATCTTGGACCATCAGGTGTTCCTAGTTGTCAGGGGATTGCCAACAGGGGAGGGAGCCCAGGATGGACCAGCAGAACCACCCTCCAGCCTATGGAAACAGAAGGAATGGTGAATTGCTGTCTTAAGCCTCAAATTTGGGGTGTTTGGCCCCCCAGCAGCAGATAACTGAGGGGGATCCAGTTGTAGGCCAGTGGGACCTTCTTTGCTTATCTTCTCTTTCAATTTGTCACAATGCTTTTTATCTCTTCATGTGTGACATTCTCTTTTTCCTTATTTATTTCCCAACAGTATGCTTTCCATGGCGTCTGCTCACTTCTGTTCTTCTGCTTTAGTCTGTCTTTTGGCTAGAGGCTCCCTCTCCTTCCTCCACATCCCTGCTCCCCATGTTAGAACCTTTACTCTGCTTTACTTTCAGTGTTCCTGTCCAGCTCCCCACGGATTCTCTCCTGAACACTGTGTTCTTAATGTGGGGCTCAGTCTTTCTAGAAGTTTCTGAAGGTATTTCTGAAAGCCTTAGGCCTCTCCAGCATCTTCTTCTGAGTCTTTCTGCACTCACTCTCAAATTGCAGCCAGTGAAACCTCTCCCCCATTCCTCTCTGATGGAGGACCTGTACTCGTGGGCCTGTTTTCTGGGTCTTCTGGTCTTGGCCCTGTCAGAATCCCTTCCTCTCTCCTCCATCACCTCCTGCCTGGCACCTAATTCCACATGGGTGGGATGCTGTACCACTCGCATTTGGGGATTCACGGGGATACCCACATACCTACTTCTGTTGAAGAGTGTATTGGTCTTCTAGGGCTGCTGTAACAAATTACCACAACCTGGGTGGCTTAATACAATGAGAATTTATTCTCTTCCAGTTCTAGGGGTCAGAAATAAAAATATCGGGGTGTGGGCAGGGCAGTGCTCTCTCTGAAGGCTCCAGGGACGAACCCTTCCTTGCCTCTTCCAGCTTCTGGTGTTGCTGGCAGTCCTGGTGTCCCTTGGCTTGCAGATGCATCCCTCCAATCTCTGCCTCTGTCCCCACAGGTGCCCCTCGTGTCTAAATATCCCTCTCAAGGGGCGCCTGGGTGGCTCAGTCGTTAAGCGTCTGCCTTTGGCTCAGGTCATGGTCCCAGGGTCCTGGGATGGAGCCCCGCATCGGGCTCCCTGCTCCGCGGGAAGCCTGCTTCTCCCTCTCCCACTCCCCCTGCTTGTGTTCCCTCTCTCGCTGTCTCTCTCTGTCAAATAAATAAATAAAATCTTAATAAATAAATAAATATCCCTCTCTTTTTTTTAAAGGATTTTATTTATTTATTTGAGAAAGAGAGAGAGCGCACAAGCAGGGGGAGCAGCAGGCAGAGGGAGAAGCAGGCTCCCTGGCAGCCCGATGCGGGACCCGATCCCAGGACTCTGAGATCATGACCCGAGCCAAAGGCAGACGCTTAACCGACTGAGTCACCCAGGCGCCCCTAAAATTCCCTCTTTTTATAAGGACATCACTCACTGGATTAGGGCTACCCTACTCCAATAAGGTTCATCTTATGTTGGTTATAATCGCAAAGACTATTTCCAACTGAGGTTACATTCATAGGTACGAGTAGCTAAGATTTGAACATTATCTCTTTGGGAGACACAATTCAGCCCACAACAAAGAGGCTGCTCCCTTTTGGTATCCTAGTTGCTCTGTTTTATGAAGGGATTTGGGGGGAAACTCAAAATCTATGCTGCCTCCAACATCGTGCCCCTGCCTAGAACCCCAGGGATGCGCTCTAAGCACACATTTCTATAGAATACTGTTCACAGCTTTGAAGACCAAACCCAAGGCAAGGGAGATTGTCTAGAGGGAAAGGGGCTCTTACCTCAGAGAGGTAGGAAACCTTTGGTGGAGCTCCTTTAAGGTCCAAATGAACTAATCGCATCTTAAATGGTGAAGAACGTGACATTTCACTATTTTTCATGAAGTCATGTAACAAAAATCTCTTGTCTGGGCACTTCTTCCTAGTGGAGAAATTCAAAGTTATAAACGGGCAGAGGCCCCTTTTAGGCCTTGCAGTTCCACTCTGTGCTTCAATTCCCACACGCCAAGGTTTGCTTTATTCACTGGGAGGAAACTCATTTCACCAACATGAAAATGAATCAAGAAGTCTACCTCATGTTCAAATAAAGGGACCTCTGCCATTTAATTATTATTTGCCCCTAAAATAGAATAGCACTGGTTTCCTCATAAGATGGCTATGATCTATAATAACACAAACGACTGCAAAATAATTTTGTTTTAAAGACTGTCTCAAGTTGTGCATACTATGCTAGCAAAAACAGGCGGATATATATAAACATCTTTCACGTCCTACAATATGTTTCTGTAGAAAATTTATCCTTAATTTTAATTTACTCTCAAGAGCATTAAAAATAATTTACGCTTCTAGAACTCAAGTCAGCTTGGTTGTACGGAAAAAGAAACTAAAAATTTAGTCTAGGTCAGAGAAAACTGTCTAGGATTTAAAAAAGACCACTGATAATTTGAAAAGCAAATGAGCCACGAGTATATCAGGGCTGACTAGCTTCTATTAAAGTAAAGGAAGTGTCTGGATGACAGTGAAGTAGCTGGGAAAGAGTGCAGTCTCCCCCCCCCCCCGGCTATTATAAAAACACAAAGGACAGGATGAGAAAAATGGAAGAAAATCTTTGCATATTGGTCACGTTTACATCTCAGTAATTCACACTACTCATTCTGTGTGAGGACTCATAAATCCCTGACCTTAAGAAGTCTATTATAAAACAGGGAAGATAAAATACACGCACACAGAAACCAGTTTGATTTTTTTTTTTAAAGAAATTACATTCAAAACAATCTCAATGACAAAATTCTCAAGGCAATTACCCAAATTACCAGCTGACGGGTGGATGAGTTTTGTGAAAACGCATTCTGAAAACTGCTTTTAAAGCTGAATTGTTTAAAAATCTTACAAGCCAAATCTATTTTCCAGAGACTAGACTCAAACACCTTCAAGCTGAGAGGCGTGCCCTGGCGGTGTGAAGACCCCCTCGTATTCAGAGAGAACCTGCTCCCGCCGCCGCGTTGCTGCGCTAAGAGCAATGCTGACATATTACCTGCGGCAGGCACACTGGCTTAACGGCGTTAAGTCTCTGCAAAATCTAAAGGAAAAGAACCAGCGAAGTCCCTGTTTCACCTTGTTACGAGTGTGCTAATCTCTGCTCGGACTCCCTCCTGCACGAAGTCTACAGAGACGAGCTTATTCCGAACCCCCGGGTGGAAGGTTACTACTATCAGGCGAACGGGCGGGCTCCGGGTCGACCCGCGCTGGGCTCCCCAGGGCCGGGAACGCTGGGCAGACCTCTTCAGTCCGATGATCGCATGAACACCTTCTTCTCCCCGGATCGTCAGTGAGTCACTCACCTTCTCAGGCTTACTCCTCGCGGATGCACCTCACTGTTCACCCCTTCGGAGTTCCAGGGGCCCCCACACGGCCGGTTAAGTTTACTTCTCACGCACAGGACGGACGGTTCTGTAGGGAAACGGAAAGCTGTCAACAAGCAGCGGGGCCTTCGGAGACAGGCGTGGACTGAGCACCGGCCGGTCCCAGCACCCCCAGGTGTGGTGCTGACCGCAGGGAAGCAAACAGACCACGGAGAAGGGCGCAGAGACCCCGGGAGAGGAGCTTGGCGACCCCCCAAGAAGAGCCCTGTGACCCCGGGAGGAGGACCCTGCGACCCCAAGAGAAGGGCCCTGGGACCTTGGGATGGGGCCCCCGAGAGCTCGGGAGCAGGGCTTGCAGACCCCGGGACGAGAGGACGACTTGGGAGACCCCGGAGGAGGGCCCCGATGACGAGGGACCAGAGACCCCGGGAAGAGGGCGCAAACTGCGGGAGAGGACGCACTTCAGACCGCAGGTTCCGAGGCTCGGCGAGTTCCGAGGGCGGAGGGGCGGCCGACGGGCGCGCGGGCGGCGCGGAGCCCTGCAAAGTGCGCGCCCGGGTCCGCGCTCCGCCCCGCCCTGCTCGGCGCTCGGCCTCCGATTGCTCGGGCCTGGCCGCCAGACCCGGGGTCGACGGTCGAGTGCGTCGCTCTGCGTCCCCGGCCGCGCCGGCCTCGCGCAACCTCTCGCGGCGCTCGTCCCGGGCTCGGGGCGGCTCCCGCGTTCGGCCCGCTTCCGCAGCGGCCTGGCCCGATGGCGCCTCAGCGGAGGGGCGCGCCCAAGGCGCCCGAGGGCAGCGGGGCGACGGAGCGCCGGCGCCCGAGCAGGTACCGGACAGCGCGGGGAGGGGCGAGCTGCGGCGGCGGGCGTGGCGTGGCCGCGCGGTGGGCGTGGTCAGGCGGGAGGGCGTGGCCCGCCGGGGGCGTGGCCTGCAGAGTCGTGCCGCGCCGCCGGGGCTCGGGGTTCGGACTCCGGACGGGAACTCGGGGCGGGAATCCTTCCCTGACCCGGACCCTGTGTGCAGAGGACTCCACGGCCGGCCTCCCGACGCGGACGTGTTCCGAGGCCCCGTCGTGTCGTCCCTGTGCGCTGTCCTTAGGGCTGTGCATAGGAGCGCCGTCGGATGGATGGCCCGATGAATGAAGAAGTGACCGTCCCATCCCGTAGCCTTGCAGGGGGTTCTCCCTAAAGCTCTCAGGGCCACGGTGTGTTTTCATCGCTCCAGGAAAAATCGCTGAGCCCCAGTGCTTGCCCAGGGGCCATGGACCTTGCTCTGAGACTTGGAAAGCAGGCCCCTTCTGTTCTGGCGAGGTTCTCTGGGTGCAGCTTGAGCCAGCTTGCTCCAAACAGGGTGCTCCCCTTGGGCAGACCCCGAGGGGAGTGTTGCATCTGAATCTGGCCGAAGATGCCGTGTCTCTGTGCGTGTGTTGTCGTCGTCCCCCCCCCCCGCCCCCCCCCCCTTTCTGATTCCTCAACTGCACTGTGGGGAGAAGGGTCGCCAGCAGCTCTGCCTTGCCGGTCAGGGTGCCAATCATTTGCTGCTGAGATGGGCTGGCAGTCTCCTTGCCCTATCTGGAATTTCGGAGGAAGGGAAATGATGGGCCCACTGGTGTCAGGTATCCACCCTGGTCTAATTAGAGAAGGCTGGGTGGCCTGGAGGCTGGACAGCAGTTCTAGGGGTGGGGAATCTTTTTGAGCTGGGTAGACCCCCCCTTCCCCTTCCGGTGTCTATGATCCCTGTTTAAAATGATCAGGTATCCACTCAACGTGGTCTGACTGTGCTGTGCCCTCCTTGGGATTTATATATTGGAATTTGTTTTATTCATATAGCACTGCAAAGGGTTGAGGGACATAAAAATAGAAGTCAGACTCCGTGCTTTTCAGGAATTAATTGCATACTTGAAGAAACAGGGCATACCTCCTTAAAAGGGTGCCTTGATCTTTTTTCTTTCTTTTTTCGCGAGTTCTTTGAACCCTACAGTCACCAAGTCTTTCCTAGACAACAGAGTAGACAGCTTCCCATTTACACACGTGCACACAGACAGCTGCACCCATGGGCACATACATGGGTACAGATGTGTGTGCACACACGTGCTGCTTCAGCATGGCAGTGAGAAGTGTAGTTAACCCAGGTTGTGCAAAAAGTGTCTTAATTGCAAATTGTTTTCATTGTGCTTCTATTCTCTTCTTGGCTGGCTTGTGGTTTTAGTGAAGTGGGCTTGACTCACACTTAGTCTGTGTCCTGTGTGTGGGCATGGGCCCTGGTCCATGGTTTGGGGCAGTCAGTTTCAGTTGCAGGCAATGTGATTGACAGCACAGATTCGGGTTCTCCGTGGGCCTGGAGGGACACTGGCTGGCAGCTCCTCTTGTTGCCAGCACACGGGTCAGATGTGGCTGGGGGCCACCTTCCCCAGCATATTGTCTCAGACTGGCGAGTGCCCCTGGATTGGCTGAGAGTAGCTCCGACCTCCATTACTGCAGAACAGTTTAAGGCTTGTTCTAACTAAGTGGGGGTGCGGTCCCTGGTCATCATGGTCTGTCTTCTCAGCACACATGGGTGCCTTTGGGTGACAGCGTTTGTGTTTTGTCCTCAGCACGAAGAGTGTCCGGGCCCCACGGGAGGTGCCGAGGAAGTGGCTGAGAACCGCCGTCCCAGGGGCCTGTGCCGTGCTTGCCGGGCTGCTGCTCTGGGGCAGTCTGGGGGGTGATGGTGGCATCACTGAGGTCCTGGCTCACCGTGGTGAGATGCTACCAGGCAGGTTCATCGAGGTGCCCTGCTCAGACGACTATGACAGTCACCGAAGGTTTGAAGGTAGGCGATGCTGCTGCAGTCTGGGAAAGAGCAGCACGTCAACATGGAACGCGCTCTTCTGAGATGCGTCTGTGTTCTGCTGCAGTGAATTGGTGGGAATCAGATTGAAAGTGGTGTGGGGGCCGGGGGGTACGGGCTAACTTTCCCTCCTTCAGGTGGGTTAACCCACACCTGGACTGGGAAATGCAGGGGCAGGCCTGCCAGTCACCGAGGTGCCCTGCACTCTGCCGGAGAGACAGTTTGCCTGGAGGGACAACAACAGAATTGGAGAGGTAAGGATGAGAAAGTTGAAACGAGAAAAGGCATTGGCTATAGAGTGTCATAGAGTGTTGTCGCTGCAGAAAATGTCCCAACAAGAAATGTCACTACTGGGGACACCTGGGTGGCTCAGTTGGTGAAGCGTCTGCCTTCAGCTCAGGTCATGGTCTCAGGATCGAGTCCCGCATCGGGCTCCCTGCTCGGCGGGAAGTCTGCTTCTCCCTCTGCCTGCCGCTCCCCTGCTTGTGCTCTTGCTCGCTCTCAAATAAATAAATAAAATCTTAAAAAAGAAAAAAAAGAAATGTCACTACCAGAAGCCCTTCCCCAGGTCAAGTGTCCCATCCTGGTTGGGGGGGGGGGGGGCAGGAAGGCAGGAGGGGGCGTGGTGCCCAGAGGCGCCCATGGGGTTCAGCACCCTGGAGAGCCCAGGACCCCAGTGCCAGTGGGTTTTAATTTCCCACACATTCCTCACTGCTGGGCGCTTTCTCCGTTTTAAAAACCTAGCCTGCGCTACTGTCTTAAAGACAGGATTCTGTCAATTTTTTCGTTGAGAGCAATGCTCTGGACTGACCTGGAAGAAGACTGCCCAGTGATCCCACCAAGTGGCGCCTGCGAGCAAGGGCTCCACCTCCCTCGCTGGTATGGGTGCATGTCCTCCCTGTCTCCCTCAGCCTTTCCCTCTCCTGTCCCAGCTTCCAAGGAGGTATTTCTCTGCAGTTAGAACTGAAGTTTCTCTTCTCACGCACTTAATAATTTAGCAACACTAAAAGTTTGCACGAGGGGGTAAGGGGATTGGGAGTTATTATTATTTAACTATGCGGGGTTCCAGTTTCGGAAGCAGAAAAAATCCTGGAGATGAATAGTGATGATGTTGGCACAACACTATGAATGTAAAATGGTAAATTTTGTATTATGTATATTTCTGCAATACCAAAAAATAGTTGAGGTATATTTAAAACTTCCGGACTTCTCTCCTGCCCCTCAAGCTGTAGGGGCTTCTACTTTGGGCAAGGGGCTCCTGATGCGATGGAGGCTCGACCCCTGTGGGGGTGTCTGGACAGAGCACTGCACCGTGTGTGTGTGGGGTGTATGTTCATGCCCTGATGAGTCAACCATCCAAAATTCACTTTTTCACCCAAATTATACTCTTGACCCTTACTCACATTGAACACTGTTCCTGCTGGGTTTTAGCAATTCAAAATTCATGGGGTTTTGGTTCTCTTTTTAAAAATCAATTTCTAACTTAATTGCCTTGTAGCTCGATAATATAATCTGTATGATACAGGTCCTTTGATATTGGCTCAGACTTTCTTTTTTTAAAGATTTTGTTTCTTTATTTGACAGAGAGAGACACAGTGAGAGAGGGAACACAAGCAGGGGGAGTGGGAGAGGGAGAAGCAGGCTTCCCGCGGAGCAGGGAGCCCGATGCGGGGCTCGATCCCAGGACCCTGGGAGCCAAAGGCAGACGCTTAATGACTGAGCCCCCCAGACGCCCTGAGACTTTCTTTTTTTTTAAGGAATTATTTATTTGAGAGAGAGAGTGCTCACGCGCGTGCACGCATGCTCATGAGCGGGTGGGGGAGGGGCAGAGGGAGAGAGAGAGAGAGAGAGAATCTCAAGCAGACTCCAAGCTGAGCATGGAGCTGGTTGTGGCTCGATGTCACGACCCTGAGATCATGACCTGAGCTCAGACACTCAATCGACTGAGTTACCCAGGTGCCCCTCAGACTTTCTTTTTGACCTAATATGTTTTTGTTAATGTTCTACGTGTACCTGGAAAAACGTTTTCTAACGGTTACATGCAAAGTTCTACGTGATTCTCCCAGTCTCCTAGTCTGCATCCTCATGGACTTCTGTCTCCTTTGTGCATCAATTACCGAGAGAGGCGAGCAGGCATCTTCACCGTGCCTGTGGGTCTGGCAGCCTCTCCTGACTGGTCTTTCGTGTTGGCTGTTTCATATCTGAGATGATACTATCTGGTGCTATTTGTCATGTCTTCATCTTCCTGGTGAATTGTTCTGTCACTTCTAAACATGACCCTCTTTTCCCCTGTAATGATTCTTTTGTCTTAAAGCACAGTAGTTACACAGATATCACTCTCCAAGCTTTCTTTTGATTATCGTTGTATTTGCTTTTATTTTTTTATCTTTCTGTGTTATTTTGTTTAGGGAGTAACCCTTATAAAAAGCATACATGTGGCTTTTGTTTATAATGAAAACACCTGTATCAGTGGGATGGTATTTGGCCTCCTGGAACTGAGGCACCTCTCCCCTGATGGCCCCCAAGTAGAAGTTTATTTTTCCCACACAACAAGGCACAGAGAAAGGCTCCCCAGGCTGGCCTGGTGCTCTGTGAGCCCCTCAGCACTTAGACTCCGTGTGTGGCTCACCTGGTCCCAGGACACTCACTCTACCTCCAGGCACCAGGCTCACGTTCCAGACAGCAAGGGGGGAAGAAGGATGAAAAGCTAGAGGTCAGCCAGCCCAGCCTGTCCTGAGAGTGTCGTTCGGCCTCATCTCATTGGCCAGGATCTGTACGAGGGAGCTGGCCCGCCTTGTGCGCCGAAACACCAGGGGTTTGCTCAGCCCGTCTGTCTCTGATGCTTTGCCTCATCCCAGCCCCATCCAGCTGACCCTGGCCTCGGTGCCATCCGAGCTTCTCTACCTCCTGCTCCTAAGCAGCTGCACATCCCGGTTGCAGAGAGTCGGAGGGAGTGCAGGGTGGGACACATGGTAAGCACCTTCGGTGGCAGTGTTTGCCAGGCCCCAGGACAGGACAGTGACCAGAATTACAAGCACAGCTTCCGTGGTCCCCGAAGGGATTTCTCACGGGGGCTTAGGAAGGCTGGATCTGTGGTCCCAGATTGTCATGGATACTGCCTCTGGCTCAGGGATCTCTTCCCAAGGGTAAGCATCTGCCTGGTGTGGAGCCACCAGGAATGTGCTGTGTCCAGCCAGGTGTCAGTATGTCCCACAGAGGATGCACTTACACCAAAAAGATCATTGTTGCCTCTCTGAAATTCATACCTATGTGGGTGTCCTGTATTTTATTTGCCAAATCTGGCCCCCTCATCCTGTGGAAGGCACGGCCCCACAGAGTTCCCCTGGGGAGGGCCACCTATAGGTAAGTCCTCAACAGATGCAAGTGACCTTGTTGTTCGGATTCAGCTTGGGGTCAGCATCTCATTCTGGCTCCTCTCTCTCCAGGCTGCTCGCCTAGGAAGTGTGGCCGGGGCATCACTGACACCGTCATCACCAGGGACGAAGCCCAGCGGATTCGCAGGTACCCAAGCCTCTTCTGTCCCAAACAAGTGGGAAAGTGGGTCTGCAGGATAGGAAGCAGACAGTTTTTACTAAAAACACAATTTAAAGAAATTCATTTAGAATTCCATAAGAATTTCCTTGCGTGCTTCCAAGGGCAAAAGCAGGCTTTTCCAATTTCCAGGAGCAAAGGGTGTTGCCCTCAGTGATGCTGTTGCTGCTGGAACCTGCTGAGGCCTAACCCCTCTTCAGGGGAAGTGGTTCTGACCTGGATAGGAGGTCTAGGGAGATGCTGCCTTCTCAGCTGTTCGGGGAGCCCCGGTGGGCACCTGTGTAGACACGCCTCCTGCAGCAGGGGCTCACAAGAGAGTGGTGCAGTCTCTGTGCCTAAGTTGGCTGGGCATTAGCCCTTGGGCCAACCAGCCGTGACTGGTGTCGGGGCAGGAAGTCTTACTCAGACAGCCGACACTGGATTTTTCTTTGTTGGGGTTTTAAAAACAAGATCTTAAAGCTTTGATTTTGCAACAAATTGTTCAGACACAAGAGCTCTTTAGACACAGGTGCAAGGTGGAGCGGCATCTGCCCTCAAGCAGCCTTTGGCCTATGTGCGCAGCTGCCCGTCCCAGCAGGGAGATGCTCCTCCTGTTTCTAGATAACAGTGTAGGGGCTCGTTGGGCAGGAGTCACTGGAGTCGGCGTTGACCCATCCCCAGGGACCCAGTGGGAGTAGCTTAGCCCATTTGGGTGGGCACCAGCTCTCAGTGCTAAAGATGGTAATTAAGCCTAGTTGTTTCTAATCTGTCGTATTTAATTAACAAGATGGTGAGGAAATATTACCATTTACTCATTTAGCTTTGAAAATTGAATCCTTTGGTTTGAACTTGTGTTTATATCGCAAATATTAAACAATCTATTAACATTACATGAATCATGCTGGTTATTTGCCTAGATATACCACAGACAATTCTACTAACTAAATCCTGAATATAATGACCTTCCCCCACAGCATAGCCGAGAAGGGGCTGTCCCTGGGAGGATCTGACGGAGGGGTGAGTTCCTGCTTCAGTTTTCTTTCTGCCCCTTTAACTTGCTGTCCGTCCAGGAGCAAGGAGGCACCAAATGTGCAGGGCTTTGGGGTGTCCCCCCACATCGCCAGTGTGAACAGACCACATTCAGGGGGCACAAGAGTGTCCCCTCTCTTCACAGTGAGTTGCAGCAGCCTGCTCCAGATCTGGGGTCCCCGCTGGGGGCAGGCAGATCTGGTCACAGACAGTGGGCTGACAGAGGGTGAATTAGGAGCCCAGTGAGGAGGGTGGCCAGCCCTGGAAGCGGGAGGGGCTCCTGGGACATGGTGACGCGCATGCTCCCCAGTCTCCAGGCTGGAGGCCCCACAGACACGGTGTGGGCACTGTCATCCATGTGTGTGAGAGTGCAGGGGGCCCGGGGGCGGGGGGACGTCCCAGGGGATCTTGTGACCAGTGCGTCCACCCAGAACATGGGGATAGGACCTTATTTGGAAAAGGGGTCCTTACAGATGCCATGAAGTTAAGGGTCTGAAGATGAGATCATTCTGGATTGGGGTGGACCCTAAATCCAATGGCAAAAGTGTCCTTATGCGAGAGAGGCAGAGAGAGATGTGTGGCAGAGGAGAAGCCGCAGGAAGACAGAGGTGGAGGGATGCAGCCATAAGCCAGGGAACCCCTGGAGCCACCAGAAGCTGGAAGAAGCAGGAGGAGTTCTCCCTTAGAGCCTTCAGAGGGAGCGTGGCCCTGGCCACAGCTTGATTTTAGGGTCTCTGGCTTCAGTAGCTGTAAGGAGATAAATTCCGGTTAGTTTGAGTCCCCAGTTTGCGGCGATCAGTCATGGCAGCTGCTGGACCAGGGCAGCCCTGTGTCTCATCTGCCTCCTGGGCAGCCCCTGGGGGTCCTGTTCCTATGAGCACCACACATTAGCTTGCATTCCCATGTGGTGTCCTGAATGTGGGTCTCCACCCAGCGTGTGAAGCTGTGGAAGATACAGTCTTCTCTGCGTTGTTCGGCAATGGCTGAATTATCGCCATTCCGTGGACCCGGATCAGTCCACATGTTTGAAAGTCCTGGGAAGATTAGTTTATGGACTTTGCTAGAATTTCTAAGTATTTCTATGATTATCTGCATGACTTTATTTTATTCTGCAAAATTTCCCCCAGAGTTCCGAAAATTAAGCTCCTTTTATTTCAGTTTGGTTTGATTCAGGGGTAGCCTTTATTAAAAACCCACTTGTGCATGGACTCATCTCTTATCCTTTGTTGGGCCTTCCCCCAGGAAGCTGTCTTGCAGCAAAGGAACCAGATTTGATGCCTTTAAGTTCAGTTAACATTTATTAAGCTCAAATTATGTTCAAACCCCTGGGCTGGTCACTGCACCAATGAGGAGAAACATAGTAGCTTCCGGATAGCATAAACATGGCCCCTGCTGGTGACCACTTTTCCTGGTTGTGGGGAAGACCCACAGAGGTGGGGTGGGCAGGGGTGCAGAACACCTTGATGGTGTTTTAGAAAGTAGGACCTAGCAATTCCACTTCTGGGGATTTACCCAAGAGAATGAAAGCATCTGTCCACACAGACTTGTCTGCCAGTGTTCAGGGCAGCTTAATTGGTAATAGCCCCAAACTGGAAACAACCCACGTGGTTGTGTTACCCCAAACCATGGAGTGTCCTCAGCAATAAGATGGGATGGATGTCTGTGGACACAACAGCATGAGCGAACCACAGTGGTTATGCTGAGTAGAAGGAGTCAGACCCAGAAAGAGTGCATCCCACATGATTACATTCACATATAACTTTGGAAAATGTGCATCAGTCTGAGACGGTAGGAAGCACATCAGTGGTTGCCTGGGTGGGGAGGAGTTGGGGAGAGAGGCAGAGGGTACAAGGACATTCTGGGATGTGGTTCTTATCGTGATGGTGGCTCACGGGTATGTGACATCAAAGCTTTATCACATTGTGCAGCTCATCTGTCCGTTGCACCTCAACAGGGCTGAAGGAGGGAGGGTGGGCGGGGTGTGATTCAGCTACAGGAGTTCACAGGTCTGTGGACTGTTTTCAGAAAATCAGACTGGGCAGGAGAGAACGAGATCTGTCCTGTATGTACCCTGGGTCCCCCCTCTTGAGACCCGGCACGGCCTCCCGGACCCAGGGTGAGGGCGGGCTGGACCTCAAGGCCCCTGCTGCCCTGTGCTCATCTTTTCCAGGCGTCCATCTTGGACTTGCACTCAGGAGCCCTGTCTGTCGGGAAGCACTTTGTGAACCTGTACAGGTGAGAGCCCTGAGGGGCCGCGGCCCGCCCTGCACCCCTGTGCGTTTCCTAGCCGGAACTGGGGGGCGCGGCCCCTCTCCGGGGGCAGGATCCTTGTTCAGCGCGGGGAACAGTCTGGGGCTCCATCGGAGGCTTCCCAGGGGCCTTCTCCGGAAAGCGGGACCTTCCTGCGGCCGAGGGACAGCCAGAGGGAGAGGTGGGAGGCGTGAGAAGCTGGCCAGGCTCTCGGGAGAGCTGGAGAGTCCGCTGGGGCTCCGATCCTCCCTGAGGCCAGAGAAGCAGAGATTCCCCCAAGCCTGATGCTCCGTTGACTTCCGTCCCTTTAATCACGTGGTTATCACTGTAGAAACAAAGAGATCAGCGCCCAGAGGAAACAACGAAGCTAAAGGAAATGAGGAAAAGATCAAAGGTTATAATAAAGCGTTGACAACAGACGTCCATTGAAACGTTACATTTGTTAACAGCCAATTTTTTACAGATACTTTGGAGACAAAATACAAACCGTCTTCTCAGAAGAGGACTTCCAGTTGTACAGGTGAGGAGGAAAGCAGTCGTGACGTCAGACGTGGAGGCAGGTGGCGCAGGCTGAGTGGGGAGGGCGGAGGGTCGCTGCCGCGGGAGCCCGCCCAGCCAGGGGCGGAACCCAGGCGCGCCACGCCCAGCACGGTCACGCCCACCCAGCTGCACGGGCCACGCCCACAGGCCCCGCCTGCTCAAGGGCCTAGGCCACTCCCCAGGCTAGGCCACACCCACCCACCCTCTGCAACCATGCCCACCCATCTTCGCCCCGCCCACCAGCCCGCGCCACGCCCCTAGACACGCCCACTTGTCCCCACCCACCGTGATCACGCCTTCCCTGACCCTGCCCGTCCCACCACAGCACCTAGTCCATGCCCACTGACCACATCCACTCAACCCTTGCCCTCAACGACCACCACCCGGCATCATACCCACCTGACCACCACCCCTCCAGACCACGCCCACCCCGTGTCCACCCCAGCTGAGGGCTTGTGCGTATCCCTGGGGTATGTGCCACAGCCCCTGGCTTGTCGTGGGCACATTGTGAGCAGAGGGTCTCACGAAGGCTGAAATGCACAGTTCACTTTGTTAGAGTCCGGGCAGGTGGACGCAGGGGTGGTACCTGTCTGCCCCCTGGGGCCAGGCCAGGGAACCCATGGACCGCATGAGCATCCCCAGAAATACTGAAGGGAGGGGGCTTGTCTGGGTTGGCCTCTTCTCCCAGATCGCTTAGGGCCAGTAGGTGGTGCACAGGGCAGCACCTGCCTCAGTCGCTGTGGGTCCAGCCAGGCCATCGAGCCCACATGACCCTGTGGAAGGAGCAGGCCCATGGAGGCCTCGTGGTGCCCCGTCTGTCCAGGGCTGTTTCCTGCCCCTCGCAACAGCTCACGTGGAGGGAGACAGAGCCAACCTCAGTGGGTCCAGCAGCTCTTGCAACAGCCCCACAAGCAGCCCAGGGTGCTACAGGGGGCCGTGCCCTCACAAGTCACACCACACATGCTGGCGCCAGGCATGGCCCTCCTGCCCTGACAGCTCCCCTCACTGGGGAGTGGCTTTCTTTAATTAAAACTTATAATTTTTATTTTTATTTTTTTTAAATTTTATTTATTTGACAGAGACAGACACAGCGAGAGAGGGAACACGGGCAGGGGGAGTGGGAGAGGGAGAGGCAGGCTCCTCGCTGAGCAGGGAGCACGATGTGGGGCTCGATCCCAGGACCCGGGGACCAGGACCTGAGCGGAAGGCAGACACCCAACGACTGAGCCACCCAGGCGCCCCTAAAACTTATAATTTTTAGATAATCAAGACTCACAGACTGGGGAAATAACACAGGGTGATCCCACGTACCCTTTAGCCAGTTTCCCCCGAGAGCAACAAGTTGGTGTGAGCAGAGCAGAGCATCGCCCCCAGGAACTGGCCCCAGTGCTGCCCGCACCGTCTTGCTCAGAATCCCTGGTTCTACCATACTTGTGTGAGTGTGCAATTCTGTCCCCTGGGGAGACCATGTAAGGGATGCCAGTCACGGTACCGAGCGTCTCGTCGCTACGTGGACCCCATGTTGCTCTTCTGTCCCCTCGGTGCCAGCACCCGTCCCTCACCAGCAGCCAGCGGGCCCGTTGCTACCGTAGCCTCGTGGCCTGGGAACAGCTGCTGCTTCCCCTTGGTGACGTTTCCGGGGAGGCAGCCGGGCTCCTGGTCCAGAGAGAAGCAAAGGGTCGGGGTGAACTTGACATGCAAATAGTGGCGGCATTGAGCGGTGCCCTTGATCCTGCCACGCACTAGTGACCTCACTGGGTCGGCCCTGAAGTCTGGGCCTGGAGTGAGGCGGGGTTTCGCAGCGCAAAAGGGCCAGGTGACCAGCAGTGCAGGAGCCTGGTCTGCAGTCACCCCGTGACTGGCTTACTGTGTTTACCATGTTTACTGTTAAGTGAAAAGCATGCGTCAGTATTTTAATGTTCATAAGTTCAAGGCTCTATGAAACGTAAAAATGATCACTGCGGATGAAGGGAAAACAGCGGATTTGTGTCTCATTCGAGTGCGAGCCTGCAGAGAGGAAGGGGTGTCGATCCCACTGCAGTCGGGGACAGCTCATGGTTGTGCAGAGAACCCAGGGAGAGTCGCACGTATGGAACAGAGTTTGTATTTCTGGAGTGAAAACCCAGTCGGTTGTTGAACTAAGAAGCATGAGCGCCGTTGCTGGGCATGTGGGTGCTAGAGGAGGTGGCTGCCAGGAGGCTCCCACGGAGGCATGGAACGCAGACTTCATCAGGACGTTCGTTGTGTTCCGTCAGAGCTGAGGGTTTAGTAAATGAGATTGGTAGTTATCAATGAGGAAAAATGGAAGGAACCAATTAGTTTCACACAGTAAAACAATGATTAAAATAATAACAGGGGCACCTGGATGGCTCAGCTGGTTAAGTGTCCGACTCTGATTTCAGCTCAGGTCATGATCTCAGGGCTGTGGGATTGAGCCCTGCGTCGGGCTCCACGCACAGCCGGGGGTCTGCTTGAGATTTTCTCTCCCTCCACCCCTCCCCCTGCTCACAACAGCTCTCTCTCTTAAAATAATGAAATCTTTAAAAAATAATCATAATAATAACCCAATCACTAAAACTTCTCAAAATAGATTCTCAAATAGTGTTGTCAAGGAAATGGCAGTGTTTAGAAGGTGCCATTGGAATCTTTTTTCTAACTTTATCTATTCTGTTGTTAAAAATAATTGAGCATTCTGAGACACGACAACAGTATTACCAGCATGAGATCTCAGCCTGATCTCATTTATGGTCTAGATCATCACAGAACATTTCTGCTGGACCAAGAGAGTGAGGTTTGGGGACTCTCGAGGCCATGGCGGTGTCATGGTCAGAAGAGCTGCCCGTCTCCCACAAAAGCATTCTGATAATTCACACAAAATACAAAATGCTCTGCTCTGCATGTCTTGTGAGCTGGAAGGAAAGCTTTGAGGTTGGCTTTATGGTTAATGTTCAGGGTGAGGAATTCCCGGAACTCCACCTCGGGTTATTACAGAGGTGGTCAGTGTGCCCCCGGGAGCAGGGCTCCTGCTGCTCTTGGTGCCACGTCCACGTGGTTTCCTCAGACTCTGAGCCATCTCTGGATGTGCTGAAGGTAAAACGTCTGTTTGCTTCCCGTGTTTTCTGGCTGTCATGTCTGCTGACCTCAGGGAGAGTGTGCAGCGTGACATGCAGTGACCAGAACTGAAAACTGGAGGACTGCCCGGGGCGGGCCCCCAGGAGCCCAGGAGGAGCACCATCACCTCATTAATGTGCCATCCACAGAGTGTGTGGTTTGATGACAGAGTGAAGAAATGCCACGAGCCTCTAAGTTCTTTCGGTTCGTTGAACTGGGACATTTGGCTAAACACTGTTGGCAAAGCTTTGTGCATTGAAGGTGAACAAAGATGAAGACAACAAAGCCCACAAAAAATTCTGACATTCTCAGAAGTAGTTTTTCTGACTTGGCTGATAAGAGCTGCTGAGCGCACACTTATCTCCTACCCTGTTGAAGGGTTAGAAGCATTCTGAATGTAGTTGTTGGCCCAGCAGAAGTTCCATGAACATCGCTGATGGTAGAGTGCTTGCTCTACTTACTGAAATGAGTTTAAGGGGGTCCCAGGAAAAGTCTGGTGCACCCCCAGTTGGCACCCTGCGGAATGGGAGCACCCTTTGGCTAGTGGTGTGCGTGTTGAAGCATCAGCCAGTGGTTTGGAAATGTTGCAACGATACCCTGTTGTGCTGGAGCTACATCATTTGTGGAGCTAGACCTAGTTCCATACGTGTGCATGCAGGTACATGGGTAGGCACCTGTATGTGTAGGCGCGTGTGGGTAGGTACCTGAGTCTCGCAGACATGTGCATATGTAGGGTGTAAGTTTGTATGCTGCGTGTGTAAGGGTGTAAGTTTGGTGTGTTTAGGTAGGTCTGTGCGCACATGTGTGTACAGGCATGTAAATCTGTATGGTGCGTGTAGGTAGGTACGTGTACATGTGTGTAAGGTGTAAGTTTGTATTATATGTAGGTAGGTCCGTGTGCACGTGTGTAGAGGTGTGTAAGTTTGTATGGTGTGTGTAGGTAGGTCCATGTGCACGTGTGTAAGGTGTAAGTTTGTATTGTATGTAGGTAGGTCCGTGTGCACATGTGTGTAGAGGCATGTAAGTTTGTATGGTGTGTGTAGGTAGGTCTGTGTGCACACGTGTGTAGGGTGTAAGTGTGTATGGTGTGTGTAGGTAGGTCCTTGTGCACGTGTGTGTAGAGGCATGTAAGTTTGTATGGTACGTGTAGGTAGGTCAGTGTGCATGTGTGTAGAGGCATGTAGGTAGGTGGGTAGGCAGCAGGTGTCATGTGTCTACCTGAAAGATGGGGGTCAACCCGTCTAGCACTGCTCCCCTGCATCTGGCCTCCCACAAGGAGATGGCTCCCTGGAGCTCGGCTGTGCAGGTCAGCAGCGGTCCAGGCAGAGGTGGTGCCCCCACCATGGATGCCGATGTGGGGGACAATGCCCCATTGCACCTCACCCCACAGCTGCGTGTGCAGGGCTTGGAGCCCAGCCCCCTGGACGTGCGAGGAAGGGGCCAGTGTCTCCACAGGGTGCCACACCTCTGCTGTGGCAGGCAGTGGCCCCAGCCCCTGACCGTGCACACTGTAGCTCCCAGTGAGGGTCGAGGTCCTCCTCCAGGCCTCTCTGCCCTGCTCAGGAACACGCACACCCTATGCAGAGGGCCGCTCTCCCCCTCTGAGTGTCCTCAGCGGGCCTGGTGCCATGGCCATTCCTGCAAGGAATCGGTGCTCAGTTCCCGGTCCTACACGTGGTGTCCCTTCACACAGGCCCAGGCTGCTGGGTGTGTGTCTGTCCGTCTGGCAGCTTTCCTGTAATCGATGTCTTTTTGCAGCGTGGCACTGTGTGGGCTCTGTGGGACCTGTGGAGAGTTCTCTCCAGAGGCTGCACTGCTCCTGGGTGATGCGTGTGTCCTCCCAACAGGGACGTGCGGCAGAAGGTCCAGCTCACGATCGCCCAGGCTTTTGGCATCAGTGCATCTTCGCTGTACCTGACAAAGCCCACATTCTTCTCCCGCATCAACAGCACCCAAGCCCGGACGGCTCACGACGAGTATTGGCACGCACACGTGGACAAGGTGAGCACCCGCTCTCCGGCACAGGTGCCAGGGGCTTGTCCGTGGCTGCCCGAGCTGGCTCTGCCTGGGCTTCTGAGCATCTACCCTGTGGCGTTTCTGTGGTTGGGATTTTAGATATCTTCCTCTCTGACATTTGGGGTGGACCCTAAACCCTGTGGAACCCCGTGGATGTCATCAAGGAGGTAAAACCCGTCCCCGTGGGACGGTGAAATGTGCACTAGGAAGTGGTGGGCACCATGGCACCCTGTCCTCCGTGGCTGCCTCCGCTGGAGCTGCGAGCTCCACCGCGTGCCACCCAGGCAGCCTCTGTCATCTCCACAGCTGCAGGTGGCCTCCCCTTGGGCCTGCCCTCCACCCACATCCTGCCTCTTCACGGGAAGATCTCTCGACCACTCAGGATCTTCTGGATCTCCCGTCCTTGATCTCTGTTGCACAGGCCCAGCTAATCAGTGATCTAGACCCGCTGAGTTGGAGCCCATCCCCATCTGTACTGCAGCCATGTCCCCCCGTGTTCTCAGCATGCTGCTGGGGGACACCTGAGGGCTGCAGGTGTGCTCAGGTGACCCAGGACCATCCCTTGTGTCCCTTGATGCTAGAACGAAAGAAGCAAGTGAAAAATACCGGGAAAGCTTGGGATGAGTGATGAGGGCAGGTTGGGACGCATGCTTGCAAATGGGGCTTCAGCTCTGCAACCCAGCCAGATGCTCAGCCTTTGTTAAATCTCGACTGAGCTGACGGAGGCAGCACCATGCATGGCCATGAGCACAAGGGTGTGATTAGTGAAACCGAGGACCCCAATATGTAATCAGTTCAAGCCAGCTTAAATGGAAGTGGCGTCTGTGGCCAGGGGCTCCCAGCGGGCCAGCGATGCTCTGGGGGCTCCCCAGACTCAGGGTGGGACTGCGGGATTTCTGGCCTCACGGCAGGAGGCCCAGCGTCGGCTTGCAGTGTGTTCAGACGCCAGTCTGGTTCCACTGTGATCCAGCCCATCCCCTTGCCCCTCATGGCTCTGGCAGCTGTTGGTCTGTTGGTAACCACCGCCGATCGTCACTGCACCAGGAGACAGGTGCCACCTTGGCTGTGAGATAATCACAGACGTTGCAGGGGCAGAAGTGGTTGTTATGGTGCTGATGGCAAAGACGATGTGTGTGGAGGATGGACGGGTACGTACAGCATACGGAGAAGGGAGCCCCCGCCATGGGCCGGAGCCCAGGAAGATCTCCTGCACGAAGGAAGAACAGCCCTCCACCCACCAGGAGGAGTCCAGTCAGGAGAAACAACACTGAGCGCGCCCTGGCTGCGTTCTCGAACTTTGAAGATAATACTCTTCAGGCGGGAAGAGACTGGCCACCAGTCACACGTCGGCAGCCTCAGGCTCTCCAGAGCGATGCTCAGAGCCAGGAGGCCATGGAAGGGTCTGCAGGAGCAGGGGTCACACGAGCAGCCATGGGCTGCTCACGTGTGGACTTGGCAAAAAGATGTCCTCAGACACAAGAGAACTCTGGCACGTGGCATCTGCTCCTCATCCACGAGGCTCTTGTCTCCAGCTCAGGAACAGAGACACCCCCACCACTCCCAACCAGGTCCCTGCTTTTCACGCGAGTTCTGAGGGTTCCTCTGCAGTATCTGGGGGTGGGCGGGTAGGAGAGGGTCAGGCTCCTGGACTCCCCACCCACTGCACTGGGGTCTCTCTCAGGTTTTACGTGGCTCACATATGGTTTTGATGGACATGAGGTTCATTGTGGAAGCTGCTCAAGAAGCCCAGCCCTGGGAGATTCGCAGGCTTATCCCTCTGGTGTTTTTTAGGAGAAGGGATTCTGGACAAGGGGAACCTGAGTCGGGGTCTTAGTGGGGGATGTGGAGCTGAGCCCAGGTGTATAGGAATCCAGCCTCACGTTGTATGCTGCCAAGTTTGTGAGGGGATGACATTGCTCTTGGTCACCATGGCAGCTTTGCTGGTCGGCCCGCCTCCCGTCAGGAGGTGACTGTTGTCATGGTGATGGGGTAGCGATGGTTGCAGGAGGAGAAGGCTTTTCGAGCCTTGATCAAATATGGCACGTGAGATTGGCCTGGGGCTTCTGAGTCGTTCCCAGGATGCCTACAGGTGTCCATAGAATCATGGAGACTGGCTGTCAGCCCGGCGGCTTAGAGGAGGGAGTCGGGCTGTGCACCAGGGCTGGGGGGCGATGGTTTGGACTGCAGTTCTTAGGCCCTTCCGTTTATCTCTTACCCCATACTTGCTAATTGAACGATTCATCAGCCTGGAAAATGTTACTATGTGATTAAAATTCCTTGTTTGTTGCACATCACAATCTTTGCATGAAAAGAATGCGTATCTCGGTAATTCCCTTTATTAACCAGATCCCGATCTGTGTGAGTGAGCCCTTGGAGAAGTGCAGTCAGCTTCTCCTCAGCAGCCTGAGGTTTTAAACCAAACCCTCGAGAAAACAGCATCTCCACGTGGTGCCCCTTGTCTGTCCTGGTCAGGAACAGTGCCTCGCCTCCCAGACTTCAGGGCGTCTGAGGGAACAAATGATAGCCGCCCCCGTTTACGTCCCTCCGTCCAGGCCAGGGGTGGGGGTCGGTTATCAGAGGGTCCGTGCTCAGACAGGCCCCCAGCCAGACCCCGTCCTTCACCATCTGCTTTGCACTGCCCGCGCGGTCTTCCCAAAGAGCACCTACGCAAAGAGGCTCACGCACTAAAGGGCAGACACTGTAGGGTCCGCCCGATGAGGACCCTGGGGTCGTCAGAGATGGAGACAGAGACAGAAGGGTGGGTGCCAGGAGGCGGGGGGGCGGGAGTGAGTGTTTAATGGGGATGGCGTCAGTTTGGGAAGATGCCAGGTGAAGTACTGGGGTTGGACAGTGGGGATGTGGCTGCACAACTCTGATGCGCTTCGTGCCCCTGGCTGAAATGGCACATGGACTTACTACAGTTAGAAGCAAAGGTTGGGGCTGCCCCACACGTGAAGAAAGAGCGAGAGCACTTGTTGCCGCGTTTGTTCGTGTGCGGACGTGGGAGGTGGGAGCTGCCGCTTAGCGGGTGACACGGCCGCTGTCCCGGGAATCGCTGTGGCTCGGGCTTGTCGGCCGAGCGTCCGCATGTGCTGCCTTTGCCGGGAGACGGCTGCCCGCACCTGAGCTGTGCAGGGGCCCCAGGCAAAAGCACATGACCGCAGGCCTGACCGCGGTGTGTCTGCGGTCAGGAAGGCAGCCGGCGGCCTCATTTAGGAGGCGGACATGTGTTGTCGACCAACCTCGGAAGCGTGAGCACGGCCTTCTGGGCTGGTTGCCCCACGGGTGCCCGGATGCTGACGTGCTCCCTCGTGCTCTGCCTGCAGGTGACCTACGGCTCCTTCGATTACACCTCACTGCTCTACCTCTCCGACTACCTGGACGACTTCGGCGGGGGCCGGTTTGTGTTCATGGAGGAGGGGGCCAACAAGACGGTGGAGCCGAGAGCAGGTAGGACCCTCAGGCGGCAGCCCTGGGCTTGCCGGCAGCTGGACAAGCCATCCGTCTGCTGGCCCTGGACACGCCCACTGCCCTAGGTCACTGCCGCACAGCACAGCCGACCTCCGAGCCCCCCACTCCCCGCAGTGCATTCCCGCTCTGTCCCTCCCCAGAGGTACAGTTCCTGACCTAAGTGGGACCTGCCTCCCCAGACCAGGTGGTCTTGGAGCCCCCAGGGCCCCCAGCACGGCACGGACACTCAGAGCGGCCCCGTGAGCGTGTGCTGAGCCGAGGGACCGTCCCCTCCCTTCTGGCGCTTGTGGGGAGGGGTGGGGTCATGGCCCCAGCCAGGACTCCCAGAGACTCACAGGCAGAGCCCGGACACCTGGTCCAGGGCCCTGGGCCATGCCGTCCCCCTGTGGCCACGTCTCACCTGTTCTGTGGCATTGCGCTCACTTGCTCACTGGGCGCCCACCTGGTGGGAGCCCAGTCAGACCAGGGAGGCTGCCCACCGGGGTTGGCTCAGAATGTTCCTGCCGGCTGTGGGACCAAGCCAGTGGGTCCAGACCGCTCCCTGTCGAAGCTCTGAATGGGACACGCAGTAGCGTGGAAATCGAAGGTGTAAAAAGGGAATTAAGCAGCTCAGGGTTTGCTCTCCTCCTTCTGTGGGTGAGCACGGGAAGAGGTGCAGACCCCGCTCAGTCAGCGGGCAGGAGGGGCCTCCAGACACCCTGCAGCTCCGGCACTTTGATGGATTAAGAACCAGAGAAGCTTCTGGTTCTAAGGCCGGGTGTCACCTGTCACTGCTTTCGAGAGGCACCCTTGTGGCCCAAGAGGGAAAGGACGTGAAGGGTTACACAAACTGAGATTATTTCCCATTTTTGGTTACTCAGTTGCTGAGCTAAATCTTATTTTAAGTCATTTACTGAAGAATGTAAAAAGCCAGAAAGTACCTTTTTCTGAATTCTGAAATGTTTCACGTTTATAGAATTAGGTGGGCAGTATTGTTCAGACAGCCTGATGTTCCCCTAGGGGACATGGCCCTGGGGGACCCGCCCTCCGGTGTCAGTGTTACTGTGTTTGGTGCTGGCGGTGCCAGCCTGCTGGTCACCACACAGATGATGACTTCATCCTCTGCTGGTAATCTCCTCGTGGTTCTGGTGACAAGCAGCCTGCCACTGGGGTCTTGCAGAGCACTTCTGTAGTGCCGGTGCTTGTCTGCACCACTGCGCACTTCCCGGCTCCGTTGCTGGGCTGCACACAGGAAGCGCAGAGGGGCTCCGGCAGGACCGCACGGCCCGAGTTGCACTTTTCTCCACAGGTCATCACACCGGCGTTTGGGGGGCCCGAGAATCTCCTTCCAGGTGGACAAGATGGGGGTCTGCCAGGTTATTTTATAACACTCCCTCTGTCCCGTCCCCGCCTGTGGCTCAGCGAGGCTGGTCTGTGCCCACAGACGTCACGGGAACCGGCGTTTGCCGGGCGAGAGATGCAGCGCGCCTCGCCCACCACCGAGGCCACATGAAAGTTGGCATCCGTTCCTTACACAGTGTCCTCGGCCTCCTGGGAAATCCACAGGAAAATAGCCACAGCGGCTCACACCTTCCCACTGACTCGTGCTTCCCAGGACCCTCCCTGTAGACCCGGGTTTCCAGTGAGGACCGTTTTCCTTCAGTCTTCATGCGTCACACCCCTGGCAGCGGCTCTCCTGAGAATGTCCACATGTCTCCTTTTCGCACGGGCATCTTCACTGACTGTGAAATTCAGGACTGATAGCATTTTCCTTTCTCTTTATAAACATCATTCCTTTATTTGGGTTCCATTCTTGCTGAGAGTTGCCATCACCGGGTCACTGTCTTTTTTCTCTGCTGTTTCCAAGATTTTCCCAAATCTTTCATTTCATCCGTTCCACGGTGTTGGGCCTCGGCGTGGACTTATTTATATTTATGCCACTTGGAGTTTGCTGTGCTTATTGGACTAAAAGCCAGAGGTTTTCGTCATGTCGGGGAAAGTTGGGTCATCATTTCCTCAAGTCCTCCTTTTCTGCCCCAATATTAATTTCTTTTTCTGAGGCTCCAGCAGCATGAATGGTGGGAGGCTTCGTACTGTCCCAAGGTCTCTGTTTGCAAACTGTGCCGACGCACGGGGAGGGACATGAAGAGCCCCCCTCTTACTGTGTGTCAACAGACACTTCATTGCCGTGTCCTTCTGCACAGGGGGCAGAGGGCGGGGACGGGTGTGCACACAGGCCTGGCTGCTTGTCCGGTGGCTCAGGCTTGAATCAAAGTGCAAGAGACTGAGGACAAGATGTCTTTTTAAAAATGTGAGTCTCAGAGAGTGTTGTGCGTGTGGCTTGCTCTGGGAAAGAGCGTTTCCTTCGCGGGGACGGCGCCGTGTGTGAGCTCCAAGAGCCCCCGGGCTCACACTCACAGGGCTTCCGCTGTGTCCACGATTTCTTTTGCTCTGTTGTTCCCAAGCAGAGTCCAGTTCTTTGCTTACAACGAGAAAGCAGCGCGTGTCTGAGATGGACTTTCTTTCCTTTGCAAAAATTATGGTTGAGTTGCAAGTACGAAGGGAAATGCAGTTGCCATGGTGCCTGCCGAATCCCAGTTTCCTCCCCTGCGGCTTTGCAACGGTCAGCTCCCTTGTAGAAAATGTGCGGTGCTGTGTGCAAGGCCAGTGAGAGACGGAAGCCAGTGAACGTGGAATTGTCTGTTGACGGCTGGAGGGTCCCCTCCTCTTGACTCAGGAGCTGCCTCTCCCCGCGTGTTTGCCTTCTGTCCCCACTTGATGGGAGCTAACGAGGCGAGGCACTTGAGTTGTCTTGACGCAGCTTCCCCGGTTCTTGGTTAGAGCTTTGCCATCGCTCTGCAGGGTTTGGTTTTGTTTGACGTGGGATTAGAAGTAAGATCCTAAGCGTCAGACCTGAAAGGCTGTGAGGGGTGGGCCTGGGGCGGTCCCCTGGCTTGGCGGGGCGCCCTGGGCAGCGGCAGGGCCTCGCCCCCAAGTCTGGGCCCACCTACCGCAAAGAGGGCCCCTCACCCCCGGCGGCCTCGCCTGCTGCAGCCATTCCAAGGCGGGCGGGGGCCTGTCCCATTCTCCTCGTTTGCTGCGTCAGGGCCGGCCGTATGTGTGGCCTCCTGGTCACTTCTCTCTTCTGTCCCAGGTCGGGTGTCCTTCTTCACCTCGGGGTCCGAGAACCTGCACCGTGTGGAGAAGGTCCACTGGGGCACCCGTTACGCCGTCACCATCGCCTTCACCTGCAACCCAGACCACGGCATTGCAGACCCCGTGCTCACGTAGCCCCGGCCACGGCGCCCTCCCTGGGAGCAGCCACGCCGGACAGATGCCCCTGCCGCCGGTTCGGCCCATTTCCACTGAACAAGGTGCCTTATGAATCACCCGGATGTTGATTTGCTGCTGTACTAATCGTTTCTCGTCTGTAAGTAAATTAGGGGAAGCGGCTCTTCACCTGCCAAGCACCTGTGTGTTTGATTCAGTGTGCTGTCAACGTCAGGCCCAGAAATCAGCAGTGAGCCGATGTACCCTCCTGCCTTCAGGAGGGATCCCCGGGCCCTGAGTGGAAATTCCCATTTGTGAATAGATAGTCATTCGCCCGGGCCTCATCCAAATTTGGAAACCACCGCGGCCCATTGAAGACCGACTTTGAAATGTGGACGATGCCATGGTCTGTAGAGCAGGTCCAGGGCGTGGGCAGCTCTGGGAGACAGGTGCGGGCCGAGGACCTAAGACACCAGTGACGTGAGTCCTGCCGGACACAGCATCCTCCTGAGACCAAGCCGGTCACACTGCACGTGGGCGCCCTGCACGTGCCCCGGCAGTGCTGTGTGGGAAGGCAGGGCGCGGGTGCCCGGGGGGGCAGACCGTGTGTGTAACCTGGGGAGGCAGCGGCAAGGGACCAGGCAGTAGGACAGACGGGAAGCAATAGCAGATTGAAGCCAAGCAGGGGAGCACCAGTGGGCTGAGGTCCGTTAACCTCAGGCCCCCAGGCTCCAGGAGGCCGAAGGGGAGGCAGGGAGCATCGTCCGTGGCACATCCAGTCCCTTTTGGGCTGACTGACACTGTAAATATCAGTTTTTCACTTGATCTTGAGTTCCAGGAGAAGCAGGCATAGACCGCCAGCCCTGAATCCACTTTGTTGGGCCCCTGCTCCCCCCAGGAAGGGCTTTGCGGGCTCTGGTTTACCATCCCAGCCTCCCGCCTCCCCTTTGTTCCCACCTGAACCTTCCCCACCCATTGCCTGCTGAGCCCCACAGAATGGCAGGGGAGGGTCCGCACCCAGTGGCCAGGACGGATGCCTGAGCCCCGTCCCCCCACAGATCTGCAGGCCACGCCATGACATTCCTCAGCACCTTTGAGGCCAGGTCAACCCCAGGGGAGCAGGGGTGTGGGCAGGCCCTTCTCCTGAGAAGGCCACACTGTGGGCATCCCGGCTGCCATCCCCAGCCCTGTGGACACACGAGGTGGGGCTCATAGTCACACAACTGGCTGGTGCCCAGCTTGAGCTCTCTGGGTCTCCCTCACTAAAGAAGACAGATCTGGGGGCGCGGGGGGTCAGCCCGAAAGGACCCCGTTCCTGGAGAATTCCCATGAGCAGTAAGGAGGAGGGAGGAAGCGACAGGAGGATGGGCACCATCCGGGGTCTCCACACACCCAGGGTGGATTACTGGACCAAGGCTTCGTTCCCAGGAAAAGGTGGGCCACTCCCCTCTCCAGGTCCCCAGTCCCCAGAACAGACCCTTCCCAATCACCCCACACAGCCAAGACCCGCCTTTACCGGCGGGGGCTGCCAGAGGCTGGTGGGGTTTGTGGGGTGGGGGGCACGTGGCAGTGAGGTGCTGGCCATGCAGTGGTTCCTCTCCTTGTGCCCATCTGTATGAGGCCAACGCAGGGTGGGGCTGGGCTTGGCGGTCCACACCCTCCCGCAGAGCCCCAGCGGAGGCCTCACGTCTCGCCTCAGACACACTGTGTTCAGGGGCTTGGGGCACATGTCCCCTCAGCCTGGATCAGGACCTCCCTGAGACCCCAGCTAGTGCCCCAGCCTCACTGTCAACTCAGGCACCCCTCCCTCCCCTGCCCAACACAGGTGGGCACCTGCTCACACCATTCATCGGAGCCTCCCCTACCCCTAAAGTCACCCACCCCAGGGCCACCTCCGCGGTCTTGACAGCTCCTGGCTGCCAGTGGCCTGCTGCCCAGCCTGGCACGCAGTGGGGCGCACACTGTCCACCTCCGCTCTGCCTGGTGGCCATGGGCTTGGGGAGGGAGACGCCAGAACAGGAAGGAGGCAGGGGTGGGGCTGATAGGCAGAGGGCAGAAATGGAGGTACCCTCCCCACAGGCCCCCATGGGGACCAGGGAGTACACACATGGACGCAGGGCAGGGAGGGGGCTGGACCGCTGGGCAAGAGCTCCCCAGGCCACGGACCGCTCTGCTGCCACTCGGTATCCAGACCCCGGTTTCCACCGCCAGGGGGAGAAAGGGGCAGGTCAGAGCTGTCCAGCCTGTGGGCCTGCCCTGGGCAGCTCAGGGGATGGGGCTCTCCTGGGGGAGAACTGGCCCCTCGCCCCCCACAGGGGGTGGGCCCTCGGCTGGCCTGGAGAAAGCAAGTCTGGAGCTCCTGGCTGTTGGTGTTGGCAGCCCCGCTTCCTGCTCGAGCGTCATCCGTCTGGAATGCTAATGGAAAAATCCGCCCTGGCACTGGGGCTCCTGGTTTGACGGTTTGGGGGTGTGTGGGGATCCAGGCTGGACTCTGGCCACCCCTGCCTCCCCTTACATGGGGATGGGGGCTACCACCTTCCGCTGGCCGAGCTCTCCTCCTTTCTCATGCCTGGTGACTGGTTGAGGGGAGGTGGCCCAGCAGCTGGGGATGAGCTCTGGGTGCTTTCCCCAGGGGACAAAGGGGCCCCAGCACCCTGTCCCCCCAAGGCTGGCCCTTTAGGTGACCCAGATCCGGGGCACCTGTCAGCTGGGTGTGCACAGGTGTAGACTCAGGTGAGTTCAGGCCTCTCCAAACCGCTCAGGATGCCCTCCCGGAAAGGGCCCCGTGCATCACCCCACAGGCACTGTGGGGCCACACAGACAAGCACTGACCCCCGCCCCCCTCCAGCGCAGAGGTTCGTCTGGGGTGCACAGTCTTCACAAGCAGAGAGCTCCCCGGGCAGGGAAAAGTACTGGCTACTGGTTTGGGTACAACTCAGTTCCCAAAGAATGAGTTCCTGGAAAATGAGTCTGGGGAACTTTGAAGTGTGGGTTTCTTGTTGATAAAGAACGTCCGAAGTGCAGCTCCCCTGGTGACACGGACTCCGTGGGTCTGTGCACCGGCCACGCTTCCTGCAGAGGGTGGGACAGCCGCAGGCCACCCTCTGGGGGGCTGGGGGTGCCCTGTGGCCCCACCGCACTGGAGGTCAGCAGCCCGTCCCTTCCAAGCCTGAGCCGCCTGGAGCCTGAGGGGCAGGAATGTGCCTGTCCCTGGTAAACCCATCACCCCCACCCGCTCGGCTCCGGAGCCTCCGGGGATGCCAAACCGCTGCTTGGCTGTGAAACCTCCCAGCTTTGGGCTTCTTCCCCGCCTCCCAGCAGCCCCCTCCACCACTCCCGGAACTCAGAAGACAAACGAAATGAAGAAGGGCAGCAGGTCAAGAGCACAGTTCATTTTCTCACTCACTCATTCCCCACGGGGTGCCCTCCACGGGGGCGGGGGCCCACAGCCTGCCCGGGGCACTGGCTGGGGTGGGGGCTGGGGAACAGAGGGTGCAGGGGAATGAGACAGGGCAGGGGAAGTGCCCTGAGGCCTGGCACTTGGCCCCCCTCCTGATGCGGCCGGGCACCCCATCCCAGCCAGTCCGTGTCTCACTGGCTCTGCTGCCTAGGGTCTTCCAGAGGGGCACGTGCCCCCGCCTGTAAAGGCCTCTCCTGCCCCAGCCCCAAGCCAGCCCTGCAGACCAAAGTCCGAATTCATGATCCATTCAATCGAGGGCAATTAGTGCTTCACAGAGTAGCCTTTATGAAAAGAAATCCGTTCCCCAAATGCACCCAAAATACAATCAGTTCTGGGTGGACGCAGACACAGGACCACTCACTCATACTTGCTGGGGGAGCAGTTTTTACTCCAGACGGACGCACCACCCAGCAGCTCCACGCCTGGACTGACTCAGAAATGGATGCAGAGACTCCCTCCCCAGCGCTCCTAGCCGCTTTGTCTGTAATGGCCCGAGACTGGACCCACAAGGCCACCTGTAGGTAACAGGTGGCAGTCCATCCATCTGCAAAGCTCCTCAGTGACGAAAGGAACAAAGTACCGATAAGCCAAGCGTGGAAACCTGGAGACCAGCCACAGAAGATGGACAGCTGACGGGTCCCATTTGTAAGACATCCTAGCGGCAAGGTCTGTCGAAGCGAGCGGCAAGGACACAGCTTCGGGGGCACTGAGGGGAGGGTCTGCGCAGCTCGGGGCGGCGTGGGGCGGGGCTTCGCCGGGTCCCTGTCCTCGTCTCATGGGAGGGTACCGGTGGGGATTTCAAGCATCTCCATCCAGCTTTGGTGCATGTGTGCACACATTCACACACGCACTTGTTTGTTTTAAATAAAACTTGGGATTGCATTATACAACTCTACCTTCTGTTTCCCCTCTACCGTTGTGCCTTAGATCGACGTCATTGCTAATCTCGGAGAACACAACCTTCCTCTCTCAACACCATGCCATAATTTATTTAAAACTGGGTAACATTCCATGATGTCTGATTCTTACAGTAATGCTGGAATGAGTATCTTTATATATAAACCTTTATCTACATCTGACTCTTTGATTTAGGATAAAATCCTGGAAGTGGGGTTCCCAGAGCATGAGTTACAGGCGTTTACCTGCCTCTTGGTGGGTCATGCTAACTTTGTTCTCAGGGATATCATTTCTGTTTTGGCCTTAAATATATTTTTTTGCATTGGAATTTTAAATGATGTATCTAATTGAATCTGTCTTTTCCTTGTGGATTCTTGGTTCTAGGTCAGCTTACAAAAGCCTTCCCATTCCTTATGCTAGAAATATATTCACTTGCGAGGGGCACCTGGGAGCCTCAGTCGGTTAGCATCTGACTCTCTTTTTTTTAAGATTTTATTTATTTATTTGTCAGAGAGAGAGCACAAGCAGGGGGAGTGGGAGAGGGAGAACCAGGCTCCCCACTGAGCAGGGAGCCCGATGCGGGATTTGATCCCAGGACCCTGAGATCATGACCTGAGCTGAAGGCAGACACTCAACAAGCTGAGCCACCCAGGCGCCCCAGCATCTGACTCTTGATCTCAGCTCTGGTCTTGAACTCATGGTCGTGAGTTTCCAGCCCTATGTTGGGCTCCGTGCTGGGCATGGAGCTTACTTTAAAAAAAAAAAAGAAATATATTCACTGTGTTTTCTCTTCATTGTTTTAATGATGTTATGACTCACATCTGCACATAAAGTCCATCTGGA